TCGGGCTCGTTGCCGCGAAGTGAGCGTTCTTCCTTGGGAACGCTAGGTTCGGGAACATTTTCAGAAACGCGATCCTCGCGTCAGGACATCATTCGGCTTTCACGCAAGTGTGCTCGACGTATGGATCTTCTTCGTCTGTGAGCGGCGTTCTTCTTGGCTTGTTTCAAAGCCTTAGCAGCAGCGTCGTTGACGCTCATGGAACTCGTCTCCTCCAGAGGCCGTTTGTGGCCCGAAGCTTGTCTGGCTGACGCGGAGGTGGGATCTTCAACTAGCAGAGCTAGTTTGAGTTCCTGACCGAAGGAGAGGGCTTTCTTCGGCACTTCAATAACAGAATTGATCTCCTTAATTTAATAATTGAAGAACTTATGAAACTAGAAATTGATCAAAGAATATTTTCTCTATCACTAGATAATGCAAGTAATAACAATGTAGTTGTTGATTTTATCATATCACCTCTGTCATTGCCATGTCATGGTGATCTTTTTCATATTAGGTGTATATGTCATATTTTAAATTTAATTGTTGTATGTAGAGAAAATTGCAATGAATAGAACAAAGAAAATTGACTTGGATTCCTTTGATTCCGATTACAATTCGATTACAAAAGAGAAGAGAACGAATTTGATTCTCTCCTTTGTTTAAAACTGGGTTCTTCTCGGTAGCGATGGAATGCCTCCTTCGATTGCTCACGTCGAATTTGCTCTCCGTTGACGATCTGACCGTCTTCTATCTCGTGGGAACGATGAACTTCTGTGGAAAGTTTAATGGGTAACTCTGAACGAGTTAGAACTCTGTTATTAGAGTTGTTAGAACCGAAAATTCGGTTAATGACCAAGCTGATATTCTGTTGTTGAAGAATCCTCTCAGATTTGATCTTCTGAATTTGATTCAAAAATCTTATCTCCAAGGATTTTACTGCCGCTGCTGTTGAATCACTAAACCTGAGTGGTTGAGATCCTCCAAATGCTCTTCCGTTCCAAAAAGCCAGCCTCTAACTCAGTTGAGTTTGTTAAGATTTTATAGGTGGATCAGAGGCTGTAACTGCCCACTAAATCCGCTCCTAAGTGAGCGTGATTTCCTCAGATCGTGGGGAAACAATTCTGAAACCGTTCAACTCGTATTTGAACGAGTCAAACGCCCAATCTGGCGTTCAGAACCCAACGACGCCTCTTAGAATTGAGACGCGATGTTGAGTATTAGCTGAACACCAATGAACGCGAGGGTCACTCGCGTTTGGTTTATTATAGTTTGGAAACGCGGGGGTCGGTGTTGGTTGAACCCCTACGAACGCGAGGGTCGCTCACATTTAGCTTGTGCTTGGAAACGCGGGGGTCGCCTGCACTTCCAGAATTGCAATGCGGGGATGACATCCGCGTTTTAGAAGGAGCTAGTTGACTTGTAACTTCTTCTGTAAAGCGTTACAAGGACCGTTGTTCAGTAATCCTAGTTTTAGCTGTTGTGGAGTGTGAAAATTGTCAGATTGTAGCTTTCACTGCAAAATGTGAAGACTGCTGAATAGAGTTTTCATCAATTGTCGGAAGTGTCGTTGAATTGTAACTCTCCTCGATCTATGTGAAAAGTCCTCCATTTGCAGCTTTCGATTGTCGGCGCGAAAGCTATTTGATTGTAGCTTTCGTTGTAGAAACTTGACGGGAATCAACATCCATAGTGTTTTTAGATGAATATTTACCCACAGCTCTCTACCAAGCAACTCACCAACTACGTCCAACCTTTTATTTCTGAAATCATTACATTGCTCATCAGCATCTCTAATAGTTGCTAATATAATATTAGTCATGTTATTGTCACAACCATCAAGATCAATCATCTCAGAAATGCGGCCGTGTTTGTAGCGATTGTAGAATTGCGAATACAGTGATTAGACAGTCTTTTGATTGTGACTTTCATTGTCGGAGCTTGATAGGGATCAGCTATCCATCGTGATTTTTAGACAGCCTACAGAATCCTTTTCAAAATCTAACTTTTCAAAATCTAACACAGAGAAGGAGCTTCACAATCGAAGAACCAAATCAACTACAAACGACATCCAATGCATGCAGCTTGATTTCCATTAGTTTTCAGACAATGAAACTAAATAAACTCATTTTCTCTGCATGAGGACATACACAACGAATCAAGACACGCGAACAGGCTACAAATCGTCATGAAACAAAGAAGCACGAAGCGAACACTCGCCAAGAGGGTGGTTCTGGTTAAGAAGGGGAGGAGGAGGAATAGCTTGGCGTGTGAGAGGTAGCCTTTTCAGTTGTGCGTGCATTTTGATTGTACTCTGAATGTTTGCTTAGTATATCATATGTAACGAAATACACTTTGCGAGCTGTGAGTTTGATTGGCTTCTGGCCTCGTAACTAATACGTTTATAGATATTTGCAGTGATGGTGTTGGATGTGGTTTGAATTATTAACTTATGCTTGTTCCTTCCCTTTCTATGTTTTTCATCTGCTTATCATTGAGAGAGATGATGCTACTTATTGTTGCAGGTTTTGATTCAGCTTCTTGCATGAAAGAGACAATCAAGCATTTGAGTGAATGAATTAGAGCACCCCTTATTAGGCCCAAATTAATTAATTATTGTCTCTTATGTATTTATATAGTAAATGGAAACTAACAGACATCTGTGCCTTTATTTCCTATAAAAACATAGCCACATTGTCCTATGCACCGCACACGACATCGCCACATCTCAGTTTCACCAAATGCTTAAAAAATGGGTGAGTAATCATACACACGCTCATTTGTACCAGGAAATGGCCATCCTGCTATTGCATGAGCTTCTAATTTCAGTAAGGCCCTTGTAAAAAAATATGGCAACTCAAATTCGGTATAGTAGAGTATAGGTTGTCTAAAAATCACAACAGATAGCTTATCCTCATCAAACATTAACAATGGAGGTTACAATTCAACGACTTTCAGAAGGCTATAATTTGAATACTTTCACGTAGATCGATGAATGTTACAAATCAATGACCTTCACGACAACCGATGAAAGCTCTGATCAATGGTCTTCACAACCAATAATGAGAGTTGCAATCTGACGACTCTCATATTTCAAAGAGCTAAAGCTAAGATTACTAAACAATGATCGTCGCGATGCTCTGACAGAAGAGATTACAAGCCAACGATCTCTTCAATCCAAGACGCAGGACTCATCCCTGCATCCTAGAGGTGAAGCACAAGTGGCCTCATTCCAGAGTCAAAGCTATGCAAATGCAGCTCCTAAATGCTGCAAACGCAGCTTCCATTCGCTGCCAAACACAACTTCTAAATGTTGCAAACGCAGCTTCCATCTGTAGCCAAACGCAGCATCTAACTGCTGCCAACGCAGCTTCCAATCGCTGCCAACGTAGCTTCTAACAGCTACCAACGTAGGTTCCATCTATTGCCCAACGCAGCTCGCAAACACTGCGTTCAAACGCATATTTTATTCCAGAATGCAGGACCTGCGTTTAACTCGTTCAAACACGAGTTGAACGGTTCTAGAAACCGTTTTCTTCCCATAATCTGAGGGATTTTGCCCCCACTTAGGAATGGATTAAGGAGGCGGTTACACCTCATTCAGCCCTACTTAGGAGTGAATTAAGGATATGGTTACACCCTTTAATCCCCTATAAATAACTAAAAAATCAGTTTAGTTAGAGGCTCTTTGGCTTGGGCAGATCAAGAGAGATCTTTGGATCATTGAGCATCTTTAGATCTAGAGATCAGCAAAGGACATTCTTCGGCAACAGGAGCTATCTTCGTGCTTGGCTTGTCTAACCAATTACGGTTAAGATCAATCAACTCTTTTACAAGAGTTTAAACTCGATCTGAGTTATCAATTCATTCAGAGTTTCAAACTTGCCACTCAAGTCCTTCACAGCGTCAAATCGTGAGGAGGAGATACCGTTCCAGTGAATCAAGACGCGCGGATCGTCAACGGAGAGCAAACTCGACGCGAGCATTTGAGGGAGGCACTCCATCGCCACCGTGAAGAACCCAGAATTAAACAAAGGGGAGATTTCAGATTAATTCTCCTCTCTTTTGTAATCAGAATTCAAATTGTAATTAAGATTGTGAGAATAAAACATTTAATTCTTTCATTATCTTTTTACTACAAATTTTCCACCAAACATAGAGTAAGTGTTAACGTTTATCTGTTCCATGTTAAGTATAGTGGAGTAAGTGTTAACGTTTATCTGTTCCATGTTAAGTATAGTGGAGTAAGTGTTAACTTTTTTATTTTAAATGTTAAGTTTTATTAATTAGCTGTTAAGTTTTACCTATTACATGTGAACTATAGCCGATTAACTGTTAATGTTTAGTTGTTCTATATAAGTATAATTGAGTAATTATTATCTTTATCCTTTTAAATGTTAAGTTTTGTAGATTAACTGTTATGTTTTACCTAACCTTCCCCTTCCCCACCAACATCCTCGCCAACACCACCAACTATATTCATGAAATACGTATTTATAACATGCTATGTATTATAGTTAACATGTTAAATGAGAACTATATTAACGTGTATATGACCAGAAATAACAGATAATGGATAATGGATAATAGTTATCAATTTACCATCCAAAGTTAACATGTTATCAGTGTAAACTTAACTAGCAAAGAACGAAAGTTAACATGTTATCCGTGTAACTTAACAAGCGAACTGCGAAAGTTAACATGTTATCAGTGTAACTTAACAAGTAAACTGTGAAAGCTAACATGTTATCAGTGTAACTTAACAAGCGAACTGTGAAAGTTAACATGTTATCAGTGTAACTTAACAAGCGAACTGCGATGATTAACATGTTTCCAATGACATTTACCAAATAAATTGCAAAAGGGAACGTGTTATCCAGATCTCATTCAATGTTTACATTGTGAACATAAATAACAGCATAACAACATCAGTCTTTACAAACAAACAAAGAATAAAAATCTAAGCTTTTGGAAAAATCTAACATCAGGACCTCCAACTTCAACCAAGGAAAGAAAAATAATCCTTCTCACAAATTATCCTTCCCATTAATAATCATGACACTAGTGAAAGAAAAATAATCATTCCCACAAATTATCATGACGATTTGTAAACATTCAGAGTACAATCAAAATGCACGCACAACTGAAAAGGCTACCCCTCACACGCCAAGCTGTTCCTCATCCTCCCCACCTTAACCAGAACCACCCTCTTGGCGAGTGTTTGCTTCGTGCTTCTTTGTTTCATGACGATTTGTAGCTTGTTCGCGTGTCTTGATTCGTTATGTGTGTCCTCATGCAGAGAAAATGAGTTTCTTTAGTTTCGCTGTCTGAAAACTAATGGAAATCAAGCTGCATGCATTGGATGTCGATTGTAGTTGATTTGGTTCTTCGATTGTGAAGCTCATTCTTTGTGTTTGATTTTGAAAAGGATTCATCAAAAAGAATAAAGATAACAATTACTCAATTATACTTATATAGAACAAGTAAACATTAACAGTTAATCGGCTATAGTTCACATGTAATAGGTAAAACTTAACAGCTAATTAACAAAACTTAACATTTAATAGAAAAAAAAAGTTAACATTTACTCCACTATACTTAACATGGAACAGATAAACGTTAACAATTAATTTTCTATAGTTCATATTACTAACACTGCAAAACATGATACACCACTATAAAAATTGAAGTAACATAAATTCACTTTATTCTTAAATGAATACTTTTGTTCAAATTATAAAGCAATGGCATAAAACCAAACCTACATTCTCCACAATCAAGCTCTCCTCCACCCTAGCCTTCTTCTCCTCTACCTTCTAAGACCTCGTCATCTCGCAAGCAATACAAACTCCTCATAACTCCTCATAACTGAACTCACCATCAGATCCATGAAATGGCTAAACCCAGTATCACGTACAATCTCCTCATAACTCCCAAAGAAAGAAACCAAAATCTCTATTTTCTTCCAGTATCACGTACAATCTCCTCATAACTCCCAAAGAAAGAAACCAAAATCTCTATTTTCTTTGTTTACTCACTAAAGCTCACAAATTGCTAAAACCCACCAAAAATAAATCACCAAAGAGGGGGGGATCAGACCCAATCTCTGCTCTTCTTTTATTTTTACACTATAAGCTCACAAACTATTATAACCCACCGAAAAAACCATCACCAAAGAGAGCAAACCAGCTCCAATCTCTGTTTTCTACATGTTTTTTTTCACTTATATCTCACAGCTTGCTAAAAACATCCAGCAAAAATCAACTCAAAATGAGAGAAAAAAGGATAGAAAACAACTTAAAAGGACGCCTGCATGCGGATAGGATAAATTTGAACCCAAAAGACTTCAGGTTTTCAAAAAGCAACAAGGGGTGCCGAATATCTGCCTTATTTTCTCCCCCCTCCACCACCTCCGACCACCCCCACCATCGACCCTACCACCATCAAACGCGGCCAATCCCAGCGATTCCAGCGACCCTACCCTAACCTTAGATTCCTCCAGATCTAGCGATTCCAGCGGAAGAAGAAGAGTCGGCATGACGGTGGCGGCGGGAGAATGAAGTCGTAGAGGTCGAGGGGAGGCGGAGATGGAGGAGGTGGCGGCGGTGCTGGAGGTTCCCAGCGAGGTTGGAGAGAGAGGGTGGAAGAGGAGATGAGTTTGTTGGAAGAGAAGAGAGATCTGGAGAAGGAGAGGGGTAATTTGGGGATATATTCCCTTGGGAATTGTAATTGGGGCTGAATCACACAGAGTTCTCATTTTTGGGGCTAATACACATGACAAATAATGCAGGGGGTTAGGACACATCAACTTATTATTTTTGGGGCCTTGAAGCAATTTTCCCTTAAAAGAAAGGAGCGTGCCATAAAACAGAGACTAGGTAAAGCTATGTCAGAGCTAATGAGGGAAAATGGTAATAATTTCATTTAAACTTTGGAGGTTTCCTACTTATTTACTTATTTAAGTTTATAAGAAATTTATTTCTCTATGTCTTTTATAGGCAAAAAAGATTATGAGAAACCCGGTAGGCATGGGAGTGAGGAAAAGATGAAAGTTCCTCCGAAAGGGTACCGGGACATTTTGGAGTGGAAGGACAACATTCCTATTGGGGATTGGGCTGTCAGATTTAATAACTTGATTGGTTGTTTAATAAGAGATCCAAGCTCCATTAATATTGCTCATAACTTTGAGGAGCAAGAATTTAAAGGCATAAAGAAGATTTGGGAGAAGCTCATGGTAATTATTTATTATATTGCTGCTTATTTTGTTTACAATTCATAATGATTATTCTTATAGTGTTTTTTTTTTGCCATGTAACTTGCAGGATCATTATTGTCTTGAGGACAACCCAGAGTCTTAGGATTATATTATCCCTAAAATGACCAAGCTTATTTAGGATTGGAAGAGTGATCTAAAGAAAAGTTATTTCACAAATTTATCTGCTGATTGGAAGAGGATCTATGAGCTTGATAAGAGAGTTCCTCCATTTAATTGGATGACTCTCATTATCGAGTGGGAGGGTGAGAAGAAGGTAGATTATTTTTAATTTCTGGCTATTATCATCACGTTATTTTTTATTTATACATTATCATCGCACATACTAATAACATACTTTATTTTGTAGAAAATATGTGAGACGACATCGGTGAATCGTAGATCAAAGCTATACGATCACTTTTTAGGATTACTCCCTATGCTCAGATCGAGCATAACCATTTGAGTGAAAACTTGATATGATCATATTATTAAAACTGATTTCATGTGATTAGTTTCTTACATTTAATTTGGAATTTAATATATCATAGGACGCTTTGACTATGCCACCGACTCTTCTTGCTAAAAGAGCTTATACACCGCCCCAGGGCTATAAAAATGTAGAGGGAAATGACAAAAAGGTGGAGAAAATTAATGAATTGAACGTAAGTATAAGATTAATTTTAGATTTGTATATACTTAATAATTTTTCATCAAAGTTTCTAATTTTTATGATATATGATATGCAGGTGGTGCTGGAAGCTTCTCAAAACGAAGTCTTGTCCCGTGTCATGCAGTCTCAAAGTATAGAGGATACTCATGTAGAGCCTAACCGCATGACCAGAGACGAGTGGATGGAAGTTGTCGACGGAGCTTACGGTTTACAATCAAGAAAGAAAGGAAGAGTGCCTCTGCCAAGTGCTAGAGTTAAGACACTCACCACCACCAATAAGGCTAGTAGCCAATCTGTGACCTCGACATGACCATGTGACACGTCATACGTCGTGGGTAAGATTGAAAAATACTTGTTGAAGAATGTTGAAATTCCATTGGCTTTAAGTTTTCTTCCCACTATTAAGCACAAGTTAGGCGGTGCACAAACGACTTAGGATGTCGTTCAGTGACTCATACCCTTAAAGGACTTGCTTCCGCAGCCTATATACGCGGAGATTATGGGGTTGGCATATGATGAGCATGTAGCTGCAAGTGGTGGAGAGGTATATATGTCATATTATATATGTATTTATTATGAGTATTTTGGAATATATTTTCATATTGATTTACATTTTTTAGACTAGAGGAGGTACCACCTAGGAAGCAGCAGTACGGTACGACATTCTGATGCAGCCGCTATACGATAGGGACCACGGCTATGATGAGTGAGTGGTGAGTTAGACTTTTTAGTTACTTTTGTGGACTTTTGGATTGTGTTGAACATATTATGACCTCCAGAATATGTGTGTGTGTGTGTGTGTGTGTGTGTGTGTGAATTGATGAATGATGAATGTTAATATTATTGGATATTGTTGGATGCGAATCATTGAATGTGAATATTGTTGGATGTGAATCGATAAATGTAAATGTTAATATTGTTGGATATGAACGTGAATATTATTGGATGTGAATCGATAAATGTGAATATTGTTGAATATATTGTGAATATTGGTAGCAACATGTATACATTCCCGATTGGGGGCTCAAAAAAAGCAAATTTTTTGGATTGATATCGTCGCCAATGTTCATTGACGACGGGCGTCATCCCGTCGCCAATGTACATTGATAACGGGACTGATACCGTCGCCAATGAACATTGACAACGGCTATACACTCGTCCCCAATGAACATTGGTGGCGGAATTAGTCTCGTCGCCAATGTTTATTGGCGACGGGAATGACCCGTCGCTAATGAACATTGGCGACGAACGTAGTCCGTCACCAATGTGAACATTGGGGACGGACGTAGTCTGTCACCAATGTTTTTCATCACCAATACATATCTGTCGCCAATGAACAATGACGACGGATGACCCCATCGCCAATGTTCATTGGCGACAGGATTATTAGTGACGGACTGTTCCCCGTCGCGAAAGTGTATTGGTGACGGATTTTACTGCATTGGCGACGGATTTCCCCATCACCAATGCTTTGTTTTCTACTAGTGATTTATCTTTGTGTCCTTTAAACATCACCATTTTTTTGTATATTTTACAAACTAAAATACCAGGACTTCTGATGCACGTGATGCGTGCTTAACACCTTACATATTTGTGCATACTAAAAAATGCTAGTAACACCTATGCTAATATAAATAGAAGTATAATTTTTTTACAAAAAACGAAATAATTATGAGGCAATTCAGAAGTCAATAATATCTTCAACAGAAAATATGCTCCCCGGTACATATGTATCAATCAACTTTATATAGTGTAGGCTGGCTAAAAAATTTACTACAGATAGTTAATCCCTGCAACTGATGATGAAAGTTACAATCTGATAACTTTCACGTTAACCAATGAGAGTTACAAATTGACGACTTTGACATTTTCAAGAGTTAAATGCAAGGATTACAAGATAACGATCTTTGCAGAGGTTGAAGAAGAGATTACAAATTGATGATCTCTTCAAAGATAAACGCGAGGGTGGATCCTCGCGTTTCAATTCCAAATGCGGAACGCGAGGCTCACCTTCGCGTTTTAACTCTAAACACGAGGCTCACCTCCGCGTTTTAACCCTAAACACGAGGCTCATGCTCAAACGCGAACCTCACGTTAAATTGGCTTGAACGGTTTCAAAACCATTTTCCCACTTAATGGGGCCATTAAACCCCCATTATGGAGCAATTTAAGGGGTCAGTTACACCCCTTAAAGCCTATAAATAGCTGAGATCTCAGCTGAAAGGGGGGCTTCAAATTTTGGGTGAGCTCTTTGGAGATCCTTAGCTTTCTGTGAGAGTTTGTGAAGTATTGGTGGAGCTTTTGGCTTGGTTCTTGAGTCATCTCTGTTATCACTCTTGAGATTGGTTTTGTGGCTAAAAAGGTTTCATTTCCTTTCTGAAATCAACTCTTTCTTAGAGTTCATAACTTGTTTAGAGTTTAAAAACTTACCTAGCAAGTTCTTCTCAAACTCATTAGAGTTCTTCTCTCAAGACGTAAAAGTTAAGAAGAAGAGACAACGTCCTACGAAGCGAGGTGCTCGGATCGTCAATGAGATACAAGGTCCAAGCTCTCATCGCTACCAATAAGAACTCAGTTTTAAACAAATGGAAGGATCTCTGTTGATTCCTTATCTCTTTTGTAAATCGGGAAACCAATAAGAAGAAAAGTTGTAATTTCTTTTTCTAAATTAGTTAGAGAGGGATAGCAAGGAGAGATTGTATTCATTCTTTTTCTAAGTTAGTTAGAGATATTAATACAAATCTGTTTCTCAATTTTCTTGCTTTTCTTGCATTTTCCGACCAAACATATAGTTTGGTCTAAATCGCCGTATATTTGTTTCAATGGATAGAGCAAAAATTATAGTATGTTACTTACTCTACACGAATTATGTTCAAACATTAAAAAAATTCCTCACTAAAAAAATTAGCTAAACATCATCACATATTATATTGCTCACTTTACACAAATTATGTTCAAACACAGAGAATTTCCTCACACGAAAAAAGGCTAAACATAGTCAAATATTAGCATAAAAAATAAAAATTACATATAAATATATTGTATTCACTTACTTTGCAACTTCACGGATCCATCCACATTGATAAACTTGAAATGACTTTGATCTATTTCACGAGTGACAAAGAAAGAAAATTAGATATCTAGTAAATAGTGATTTTAGCTAGTACTATATCTATGCGATGCTGCAGGGATTTTTTAGTGGTACTTATTTTGTGGATAAGATAAACTTGATTCTCAATATCTTTATTTATTGAAAAACGCAGCAACAATTTCTTTCATTGTAAAGTTTCTCTTACCAGAAGTGTTTTTCAGTCATCTGTATCTGACTTAGGTTCTCAAAGTGTATTCAAATTTTGTCGCTTAATTGTGGACAGTACACTGAAACTAATACTTGAAATTCTTCTACATTTTCGTACTTTGACTAAAAGAAAGTTTATGTTTAATTTTGAAAGAACTCTCTCAGAAATACTCAAGTGAATTTTGCTTGTAAACACATGGCAAGAAATCTCAATAATCATTTTTAAAATTCAATGCAACTAGTTATGCTAGTGCCAAAACAAATATAAGGCAGTCCGTGGAAAAAGGAGGAGGATTTTTTGTTGGATAGAGAATTCCTAATCTATTTTGGTAACATGAGGTTATTAGGATTTCTAGTCTACTTTGGTAACATGAGATTATTAGGATTCCTAATCTATTTTGGTAATAGGTTATTAGGATTCCTAATTTGATTTGGTTTTGGTTTAGAATTCCTAGTATGTTTATGATTTTAGGATTTCTATATATATGGAACAATTGGAAGAGAAAATTGGAGGAGAAGAAAAATTGGGGATATTTGAAGCACAGAAAAGAGGTATTTTCTGAGCTATTTGTTTAGGGTTTTGTTTGGAGAGATTAAGAGCTTGTTGGTGAGATTAGTTTGTTCCTTCGAGTGATTTGTAATTTCAGTTTGTACTCTTTCTCTATTAGTGAAAATCTCATCCCCTTCTTGCCCCGTGGACGTAGGCAATTGCCGAACCAAGTAAAACTATTGTGTTTGGATTTGTGCCGTTGTTTTGATTTGTTTGGCCTTTATCTCGACGTTTGTTTGATTTGATTCTCGAAGCACGCCCGTTTGGTTGTCACGCTTCCGCGCCGCGCACAACAATTGGTATCAGAGCTCCAGATTTCAGATCTAGGGTTTTGTCTTGGTTGGAGGAGTAGATCAATTTGGAAGTTTGGCTAGGGCTTCGTTTGGTGAGAAAGGTGGGATTTTTTTGGTAAAGACTCTATCTTTTTTAGTTTGGATCTATTCTTCGTTTATTCCGCATTGGTTTGTTGGCGCTTGGGCTATTTGGAGGAGTAGATCGCTTTGGAGGCTCTTCGAGGGCTTCATTTGGAGATAAAGGTGAGATTTTTCCTATTTGTAGATCTCGTTGCCGCATTGGATTTTTGAGGAGTGCTTTGACCTGTAGTTTGAAGTCCTGTGAACCCATTGGTATGAGTGAGAAGACCGAGGTGGAGTTTGACACTTCTATCCATCATTCGAGGGGTTTTCTGAGGGGTGTTCATTCAGGCATTCGGGGGTCTTCCAAGGGAGCATCATTGGGAGGTAATAGAGATGTGGTTTCCGTAGTTGGGGATTGTTCTAGGCATTGATGGGTTGTAACCAAGTCCCGTTGGTGTGAAGTCCTAGAAGCCCTCAACAGATGGAGGAAGTGTGTTGGTAGAAAGGTAACCCGACGTTCTGATTATGGTAGGGGTTCTTTTTTGCATTTGTGCCGAGCTCACGGCAATAGGAGACACTTCATTGGTGTGGAAACTTTGAGGTGACAAGGCGAGATGGCAGATTTGGGCAGCTATTCCTTTCTGGAGGAGGATCGGCGTTTGATGTCGAGCATTGGCATTGGTGTGCAGGCTACGACATGTTTGGGCCGTATCATGTATAGGTTGTCGACTACTGCATGTACAGATATGGGATCTGGTGGAGCTGCTTCAGATTTTGGATTACGTCGGATGTTTGGCTACCCAGTACTTGGTCACATCGTGGATGTGAGATTTGATCCGATAGCACATTTGGGATTCAGAGGCGTGTTTGATTATCAGGTATTGGCTTCTGACTTTGTTCTGAGCAGGCATGTCACGTTTGACTCTCAGCAGGTGAAGAGTGGTGATCAGATCTTTGGGACATCGCAGCGGGTGGAGAGTGATGCTACTCCACGTTGGGTGGAAACTCCAGATCATACTGCATCATTTGGGATTCCAGCTGATGTGACACAGATTGGGAATCGTGTTGATTTGGATGCAGATGATAGGTTGATTGATTCGAGTACAGCTGATGGATGTAGTCTGGATATGGCCATTGGTTCATCTCAGGTGGAGATGTTTGGATTAGTTCAGTTTGGAGCCATTGGAGGTGCTATCAGCCGCAGACTTGATCGTGATATTAGAGAAGGGTTACGAACTCTTCTAGTGGATTGAGACCTTTGGAGGCTATTTGGGTGAACTACGTGAAGACTTGATTCCTTGGGCAAGAGGATACGTAGGCAGTCAGTTTTGATGCAGCTGATTTGGTGAGTAGATATCGACATTTGGGTGAGTGTTCGCACTCTCGTTTGGGTCTCGACTTGTTATGGATTGAGTCCGTTGTTGTGGATCGTTTCACTTCGTACTGGATGCAACAAGTGAGGTATTTGGTTTGGTCGGTGTCGGCTCAGTTTTGGGAAAACTTCGCCGAGGTGGAGAATTGTTGGATAGGGAATTCCTAATCTATTTTGGTAACATGAGGTTATTAGGATTTCTAGTCTACTTTGGTAACATGAGATTATTAGGATTCCTAATCTATTTTGGTAATAGGTTATTAGGATTCCTAATTTGATTTGGTTTTGGTTTAGAATTCCTAGTATGTTTATGATTTTAGGATTTCTATATATATGGAACAATTGGAAGAGAAAATTGGAGGAGAAGAAAAATTGGGGATATTTGGAGCACAGAAAAGAGGTATTTTCTAAGTTATTTGTTTAGGGTTTTGTTTGGAGAGATTAAGAGCTTGTTGGTGAGATTAGTTTGTTCCTTCGAGTGATTTGTAATCTCAGTTTGTACTCTTTCTCTATTAGTGAAAACCTCATCCCCTTCTTACCCCGTGGATGTAGGCAATTGTCGAACCACGTAAAACTATTGTGTTTGGATTTGTGCCGTTGTTTTGATTTGTTTGGCCTTTATCTCGACGTTTGTTTGATTTGGTTCTCGAAGCACGCCCGTTTGGTTGTCACGCTTCCGCGACGCGCACAACATTTTTCAATACTTGTATGGTTCCTCATGATCATGAACATAGTAGCAAATTTCGATAAGATTAATATTTTTATGAAATAACTATCGAGAAAAAGGATTGATAACATTTCAAGGGAGACAATTACATAGGGGGAAAATATTAGGAGAGAATGATAAGTTTTCAACTAATAGAAGAAAGAGAAGATGAAAAGTTAGGTTAAAATTTGAGACATAATTATCTACAAATGCCCATTAAATGAAATCTGTTATGAAATAATGTGGATGTCCATTTAGTTTCCCAATAAATTAATATTCCCCTAGTACATTAATCTTCTTCCTAGAACAACACAATACATGTTCTTGAAAGACTAAATTCATGAATGAGTAATTAATATGATTCATGTAATATCATATTAGTTTGTATATAAATAGAGGTATTCCTACCTCACTTTGAGATAGCAATGAAGAACGAATGAAATAAAATTTCTCTCTACTTCTCGTCTACTTTCTCTACTCTACTTTATTAGTTTTACAACACGTTATCAGCACGAGGCTCTACCATTGAAACAATCTTCTTCAAGTCCATTAGATTCATCATTGGGCACGTGTTGATATTTTGGATAAACTTTCGAGGTATAATTTCTCTTTCCAATTTAATTCATTTTTCACTATGACTAACCTTACAAAACAAGAATTTACGCCACTTGATATTTCTAGAAAGAACTACTTATCTTGGATGTTAGATGTTAAAATACATCTTGTTGCAAAAGCTCTTAAAAATACTATTGTGGAAGAAAATAAGACATCAAATCAAGACCCTGCCAAAGCTATGATTTTACTTCGTCATCATTTGGATGAAGGATTAAAAACTGAATATCTAACTATGAAAGATTCACTTAGTATGTGGTATAATTTGAAGGAGAGATTTGACCACCTGAAGTTAGTCGTGCTCCCAAAAGCCTGGTATGACTGGCTTCACTTAAGGCTACAAGATTTTAAATCAATCAGTGAGTATAATTCTGCAATGTATAAAAATTACCTCTCAATTGCAATTGTATGGAGAAAATGTTACTGATGATGATATGTTAGAAAAAACATTCTCCACCTTTCATACCTCGAATATGCTCATGCAAAAGCAATATCGAAGAGAGGATTTAAGAAATACTCTGAATTGATTTTATGCCTCTTTTTGACTGAATAAAATAATGAATTATTATTGAAAAATCATGAATCCCGACCTACTGGTTCTAGCCCATTCCCTGAAGTGAATACAACTAAATCTTAAAATCATGGTCGTGAGCGTGGACATGGCTGTGGAGGAGGCCGAGGATGTAGTCGTTATCGTGGATGAGGTCGTGGCAGATATGCGCCTTATAATCACATTGATCATAGTCATGGCAGAAGACAAAACAACTCCCAGAAATGGGACAATAATGATAAGAAAAGTGAAGAAAAGAAACATTATGAGGAAATTTGCTACCAGTGTGCAATAGAAGGTCATTGGTCCCGTACTTGTCGTACGACAAAACATTTTGTTGACCTCTATCAGGCATCATTAAAAGGGAAAGGCAAAAATACTGAGACAAATTTTATTAATCAAAATAATGTTTATGATGATCTTGATGATATCACACACCTCGATGTAGCTGATTTCCTTGAGCAACTTGATGATATCACACACCTCGATGTAGCTGATTTCCTTGAGCAACCTGAAGTTGCGAAATGATCCCATGATAAATACCCGACATTTTGAATTTTGTTATTTTCGCATCTTTTATGTAATTTTCTTTATGAATTTTGTAATTTATGGACTTTATTGATATTTACTTTTATTTGTAATTTTCTTTGTCATTTCTTCCTGAAAAATAAATGGATGTCAAATATTTGGGATCAAACAATGGTGCTGATAATACTTGTCTCATTGATAGTGCTACTACACACGCTATACTTAAAAATATGAAGTATTTTTCTCATTTAAAATAGAAGAAACAAATGTTAACACAATAAGTGGTAGTGCTAAATTGATTGATGGCTCCGAAAGAGCCACTGTGTTTCTCCACGAAGGAACTAAAATTATCATAAATAATGCACTACTCTCGATAAAGTCTCGAATAAATTTGCTAAGTTTTAAAGATATCCATCGAAATGGATATCATATCGAGATGATGAATGAGACAAATGGTGAATACTTATTAATTACAAATATCATTTCTGAGAAGAAATACGTATTAGAAAAGTTGCTTTCTCTATCTTCTGGTTTATATTATACAAAAATAAGTGCAGCTGAAATGTATCACCTTGAAGACCAGAAGTCTACTAATCCCAATGATTTTATGATTTGGCATGATCGCCTTGGACATCCTGGTTCTATACCAATGATTTTATGATTTGGCATGATCGCCTTGGACATCCTGGTTCTATAATGATGAGGCGAATAATTATAAATTCACATGGTCATTCATTGAAAAATCAAAAAAATACTAAATTCTAATGAATTCTCATGTGTTGCTTGCTCCCAAGTAAAGTTAATTGTTAGACCATCACCAACGAAAGTGGGCACTGAATCCCCTGCATTTCTAGAACGAATTCATGGTGATATATATGAGCCTGTAGATCCACCATGTGGACCATTTAGATATTTTATGGTACTAATTGATGCATCAACAAGATGGTCACGTGTAAGTTTATTATCTAGTCGCAACCTAGCGTTTGTGAGATTGCTTGCTCAGATAATTAAATTGTGAGTACAATTTCCTGATTATCCCATTAAGAAAATTCGTCTAGATAATGTTGGTGAATATTCATCACATGCCTTTGATGATTATTGCATGGCTATTGGGATAAGAGTTGAACATCATGTAGCTCATGTTCATACACAAAATGATCTAGCCGAATCATTTATTAAACGACTTCAATTAAATGCAAGACCATTATTAATGAGGTCTAAACTTCTTTTCTCTTCTTGGGGACATGCTATATTACATGCAGCAACACTTGTGAGAATTAGGCCGACAAGTTATCATATTTATTCTTCCTTACAATTAGTTCTTGGTCACGAGCCCAATATTTCTTATTTAAAAAATTTCGATTATGCGGTATATGTTCCTATTGCACTGCCTCAACGTACTAAAATGGGGCCTCAAAGAAGATTGAGGATATATGTCGGGTATGAATCACCTTCTATAATTAAATATGTTGAACCATTAACATGTGATTTATTTACTGTAAGATTTGTAGATTGGCATTTTGATGAATCACATTTCCCGACATTAGGGGAGGTAAAGATCAACCGAAAAAGGAAATTACTTGAAAAATATCATTAGACTTTCTTGATCCTCGTACAAAAGATTATGAACTGGAAGTTCAAAGGATTATACATTTACAGAAAATTACAAACCAATTATCGGTTGCTTTTAATGATTCTAGAAGAATTACTAAATCGCATATTCTAGCAGAAAATGCTCCGATTAAAATTAATATCCCAAAAGGACAAATTAAAAGTGCTAACGAATCTAAAGCACACCTGAAGTGTGGTAGACCTCTTGGTTCTAAAGATAAGAATCCTCAAAAGAAAAGAGGATCGAATGATCAAAATATTGCTAATGACAAAATTCAACCACCTGAAGAGGTCGCTCCTGAAGAGCCAACTCCTGAAGAAAATGAAACTTCAATAAATTTTGTTATTAGAAAGAGTTGGAACCGAAGAGAAGTAATTGTCGATAATGCATTTGCATATAATATAGCATTTGATATTATGAAAGATGACGAGGATCATGAACCCGGATCGGTTGATGAATGTCGGTGAATAAATGATTGGTCAAAATGGAAAGATGTGATCCAATTTGGATTAGATTCACTGGCTAAACGAAAAGTTTTTGGATCTGTAGTCTAAACACCTGAAGGTGTAAAGCTAGTAGAATATAAATGGGTATTTGTGAGGAAAATAAATGAGAAAAATAAAATTGTGAGATATAAAGCAAGACTTGTAGGGTATTTGTGAGGAAAATAAATGAGAAAAATAAAATTGTGAGATATAAAGCAAGACTTGTAGCCCAAGGATTTTCACAAAGACCGGATAAATGAGAAAAATAAAATTGTGAGATATAAAGCAAGACTTGTAGCCCAAGGATTTTCACAAAGACCGAGATTCGATTATGATGAGACATATTCTCCAGTAATGGATGGAATTACATTTAGATATCTTGTGAGTTTAACGGTATATGAAAAACTTGATATGCGTCTGATGGACGTAGTCACTGATTATTTATATGGAACATTAGATAATGATCCCTGAAGGATTTAGCATGCCTGAAGCATGTAAATCAAATCCTAGAGAAATGTACTCCATTAAGCTGCAAAGATCTTTGTATGAACTCAAGCAATCTAGACGAATGTGGTATAACCGTCTTAGTGAATGTTTAGTCAAAGAAGGTTATACAAATGACCCTATATGTCCAAGTGTTTTCATAAAGAGGAATGAGTCAAATTTTGTGATCATTACTGTATATGTTGATGACCTTAATCTGATTGGAACTCCTGAAGAGCTCCAAAAGGTGATTGAATATTTGAAGAAAGAATTTGAGATCAAAGATTATGGTAAAACTAAATTTTATCGTGGTTTACAAATTGAGCATTTAGAAAATAGGATTTTTGTTCACCAAACTGCTTATACCCAGAAGGTATTAAAACGGTTCTACATGGATAAAGCACATCCATTAAGTACCCCAATGGTTGTCAGGTCACTTGATCGTGCTAAGGATCATTTTAGACCAAAAGAAGATGATGAAGAGATTCTTGGTCCTGAAGTACCATATCTTAGTGCAATAGGTGCACTAATGTATATTGCTAATTGTACAAGACCAGATATATCATTTTCTGTGAATTTATTAGCAAGATTTAGTTCATCTCCTACAAAACAACATTGGAACAGTATAAAGCATATATTTTGCTATCTACAAGGAACAATTGATCTTGGCTTATTTTATTCTTATAACTCTCGACCTGAATTGGTTGGATATGCTGATGTTGGGTATTTATCTGACGTGCATAAAGCAATGTCTCAAACTGGTTATTTATTTACATGTGGTGACACCGCTATTTCATGGCGATCTATGAAATAATCAATTGCTGCCACTTCTTTGAATCAGCTAAAATAATTGCAATTCATGAGGCCAGTCGAGAATGTATTTGGCTAAGATCAATGATCCACTATATCTGGAAGAATAGTGAATTGTCTCATGAAAATAAAAATCCTCTGACTATTTTGTTTGAAGACAATTCAGCTTGTATAGCTCAATTAAAAGGAGGATATATTAAACGAGATAGAACGAAACACATTTCACCAAAAATTTTCTTTACACATGATTTGCAAAAGAATGGTGAAATCGTTGTGCAACAAATTCGATCGAGTGATAATCTGACAGATTTATTCACCAAGGCATTGCCGACTGCAACTTTTGAGAAATTGGTAAAAAATATTGGAATGCGTCGGTTGGAAGATCTCAAATGATATATGAATCAGGAGGAGAAACTAATACACAAGAATAGTGTACTCTTTTTCCTTCACTAGGATTTTTTTCCCACTGGGTTTTTCCTAGTAAGGTTTTAACGAGGCATATTCTTTGTGTAATGTTGGACATCCAAGACGGGGTGTTATGAAATAATGTGGATGTTCATTTAGTTTCACAAGAAGTTATATTCCCCTAGTACATTAATTTTCTTCCTAGAACAACACAATACGTGTTCTTGAAGGACTAAGTTCATGAATGAGTAATTAATATGATTCATGTATCATCATCTTAGTTTGTATATAAATAGAGGTATTCCTACCTCACTTTGAGATAGCAATGAAGAACGAATGAAATAAAATTTCTCTCTACTTCTGGTCTACCTTTTCTTCTCTACTTCATTAGTTTTATAACAAAATCTCTGATTAAATTTTCATGCATTGAAGGAAGTCACTAAAATGGTTATTTATTTCAAAGATTTATTGTATAAGACTTGAAAGGTTGAAGTTTAAGAGGAAGATAAATAGCCAAATAACTTATAACATGTCGCGTGACACTTTAGAGTCTTATTTTAGTATATCAATTATATAGATAGTAATATAGAGTGGAAATGTATTAATTATGCTTTAGACTACATAATTCATCAAAAAGTAGATAATAATTTTAAATAACCCTCGAGAACGTTAATCTTCGAGAACATTTCTGCTTGTCAATGACCTACGTGGTAAAAAATTCAACACTAACTAATCCAACAAAACTAAACGAAGTACTTGCTAATTCAACATAATTAAATTATCTATAATTCAACAGATCGATTGATTTTGAGGTGAAAAGGTTTTGTGGCCCTGTGGGTAAGGAATGGAGGCAGTGGATGTTGTAGTAGCTTCTGACTTTCCTCTTGTTGTAAAAGATGATGGATATGGAGAAGATGAAAAGAGTAACCGAACGTTAGAGGTAGTTATAGGGCATGAGGAGTTCGTGGGTTTTAACTTTCTGAGGAGTTTTCGGCTATTTGAGATTTCAGTATGGATGAATAGGAAGTGTGTGGATAGTTGAGAAGTAGAAAGATGAAATGAAAATGTGGATAGTTAATTTGGTAGAATGCTCATTAGATTTTTCCATTAATGCCCTTTTAAGAGATTTGAAGTTCAGACTAGTTCTTAGAGCTTAAGGCCATATGGGAGTATATTTGGGTTTTTGAAAATGCAGCTAACAGGCCAAAAGTCTAGCTTCTCTTAATAATAGGGCTTTTTTCAATATATACCCTCCATATTATAGGTATTTTTAAATTTGCCACCCAAATTATCTAATTCTAAATTTTCCCTTAACTTTCTTCGTTTCCTCAATTTACCCCCAAATTAACTGTCATTAAAATATTAATGAATTCTGGGGGATAATTTACTTCTTTAGCCTTTTGAAGTTGTCTTCTAAGGGGCTGTTTGGTTCATTTCCTAGATATAGGGAAATACAATTCCATGTAAAGAAATGTAAGTTTTAAGTTTTCCAAACTTTTCTACGAAAAAGATTGTTTCGGTTTGGTTCGCACATAAAAAATGGTGGGAAACCATTGTATTTACTTTTCTTTTGTTTGGTTCGCATGGAAAAAATAAAAAACTTTTGTTGATTTGACATTTCCCAATTTTCTTGTGTTTGGTTGGTTTTGAAGTTTGTGTAAGATTACCCCCCACTATAGACAAATTTATTTGTGCTTGTTATGGAAGGGAATCTTAATCATATAAAAGTGCGAATGTAACATGAACAAATAATAATATACAATATTCATTATAAATTTCTATTTGTATTTATGAAATAATCTTAATCACATAACATGCGTTTTATCCGGTA